TTTAGTGCTGTCTTTTTCCTGAATTATTTTGTTCGGTTGTGGCCGAAGGAGTTTGGATTTGAATTTCTTTTGTGCTGGTTGAGGAGCTTGTTTAAAGGGTTAATTTGGATTTTGGAATGGGATTTTGGGTATATTTGGTAAATTTAGCTGAGCTTATATATAGCCTTATAAGTCAGCTCATAGGTTGATAATGAGCTTATAGCTCATAGTCTATATTGATTTGGTAAAATTGTTTAGTAAAATTAGTTGACAAGTAAATCGAAATAAAACTTTTCAACTGACTTTTTTGAAAGTTTACATTATAAACAAGCTTATTAGATAAAGTTTAAGATTTTTAAAAAAGGTCCTTATACCAAACAAAGCTTTTTATGAATATAAGAAGCTTACGAGTTCACTAACAAACTATATATGCTTGGATATAAATATTTTTTAGTTTTGTTTAGATTGTTTGATTTGGTTTGGTTAATTTTGAAAAATGTGATATGGTTAGTTATTAGTCGGTATAATAAAATAATATTTAAAATAAAATAATTAAAATTGATTTGATGTAAAAGTATGAGAGAAATGATTTGAAGTGATAGCTAGTTGAGAGAGATGATTTGAAGTGATGGTTAATTAAAATTGTGTGAGCCGATGAATAGTGAATTAAAGTTGATGTGGAGTGTAAGAATGATTGATTGTTGTTATTTTATTATATTGATGATAGTGAGCTTGAATTAAAGTTGAGTTAAAAATGTTTGGATTTTTTTAGAATTTTTTTGTATCCAAGCATCAAATTGACTTGTAGTTCTTACCAAACACACACTACGAATTTAGTGTTGCCTTTCTCTTGACTTATTGTTCAGTTTTGTCTTGAAGAATTTGGATTAGAATCTTTGGAGGTGGAAGAGCTTGTTTGAAGGATTAATTTGGATTTTAGACCGGGATTTTATGAATTTGTTTTGGGGGGAAAAAAGGAGCCCTAATTTTTGGTCATAGTTAGACTAGGTTTTTAGCTGATTTGGTTAAAAATTAAAAGGTATGATTTTTTTTAGTTTAGTGATGCCTTTTTCTTGACTTATTTTTTAGTTTGGCTTTAGGATTGGACTAGAATTTGTGTTGGTTGAGGAGTTGTTTGAAGGGTTAATTTGGATTTTTTTTTTCTTTAAAAAGAGGATCAGTAGTGTTCCCACTTCCCCTCTGGCTCGAACCCATGACCTATTGGCCATAAGGGAAGCGTCGCTTTGTTGTCTAAGGGTTAATTTGGATTTTAAATGGGATATATGCATTATTATTATCATTATTATTATTTTTTTTTGGCGGGGGTGGAATGGACCCCTAATTAGTCATAGTTAACTATGCTTTGGGCTGATTTTGTTTGGGGGAATAAAGTATCTTTTTTTTTTTGCTTTATTTTATTGTGGTTTATGTCTTGTTTTATTTTTCAGTTTTGGGTGAAGAAGTTGAGTTAGAGTATTGTATTGGTTGAGGTGCTTGTTTGAACTTTGAAGGATTAATTTAGATCAGGATTGCAAACTTACAAGTATTTGTTTGAGAAAAATAACATTAACTAGCCCTAACGGGTTACAGTCAATTAGAAATGCTAGTGTAGACCTAAGTCTTACCTTGTGACAAAACATACTTTTCCAGGAATTTCAGGTCAAGTACACGTTTTTCTTTCTGTTGGGAAAGAATGACATTTCTATTTTTTTTTTACGTTATGTACTTACTGTGAATTTGTTGGTTCTTGAGTATGCATGTGGACAGTGAAATTGAACAAGGGGAGGGCTTGTGTGAATTTGAGACGGTTAGGGGCTGCATCTTTTTTTTTTACGAAATAAAAATAAAATTTATTGATTGGAATTATGAAATTACTATTTTTTTTATAGGAAAATATATATTATTGCTTGAATCAAGTGTTATTTTTGAAACTTGAATGTAAGAAGCCTTTGTTGTCTCACAGTAGTCAAATGAACGTAGTAGAAGGCCCATTACTTTGAAAACTGACCCTTTTTGAGTTAGAAGTTGAGAGAACAAGAAGTCAAATAATATGAAGCTCTTCGAAGTACTCTCAACATGGTTTGTGAAGCACTCTTAACATTCATTACATGAAAGTTTTTAGGACAGTGAAAACATGCCACCATCTTCAGTTAATTTGGATGGTCATATAATTGTCAGTTTTGTTTAGGTGTTACTATGGTACATGATGGCCAAATAATTGTCAATTTTGGTGGCAACTACAAACTCTTATCTATATGTGAAAAGTGTATTTAAAATTTGAAGGGTAACTACAAGTCTACAAAACTACAAACACCCCTGTTGAAATATATTCTACCAAGGAAATTGAACAAAACAAATGCAAATCTTTAGCATCATTCATCATTTAGTCGGTATTTATTGATTTTTCACTTCTTCTGAAACCTCATTGGTAGTTTAGTTTCTCTTTACATTTTCATTTTATTTGAAATTAAACCCTTTATTCTGCATGATAACTCTGCAAAAACCAAGATATTTGATGCTGGGAGAAAAATATGGACTACAAAAGGAGAAGAACAAGAAGCCGGCAAGAAAGACTTCATTAATGCCCTCGAGCTTTTGGAAAGGGAGCTCGGGGAGAAGCCCTACTTTGGAGGCGAAAAATTCGGGTTTGTTGATGTGGCCTTCATTGGCTTCTACTGCTGGTTTTACACATACGAAACGTGTGGTAAGTTCAGCATTAAAGAACAATTCCCAAAGCTGATTGAATGGGGCGAAAGGTGCATGATGAAGGAGAGTGTTTCGAAATCATTGGCCGATCCTAAGGAAGTTTATGAGTTTGTGCTGATGCTGAAGAAGAAGTATGGGTTTGAGTAGTGCCAAATTGTTGTATGGTTGTGTTTTTCTGGCTTTGGATATTTTTTGTGCTTATGTGTGGGTTTGAACTTTGAAGTTTCTACTTTCTTGTTTGGGATTAATTGGAGGAGTTAAAAGGGATGTTTGGCTGGTTCATGTAGTGGTGAATTATGGTTTTCGTATGTGAAATAAAATTGGTTTTGTGTGTGAAATAGCATGTGAAAATAGAAAATAGTTCGTAGCAAAAATAATTTGTGGTTAATTGGGTTCATTATTATTTCATAAGGAAAGTATGAATAAGATGATTTATCTAACCCCCTTCCCAAGTTTTTTTTACCCTTCAATTCAAAATAGATAATAATATAATATAGATTGCAGTAAATTAAAGATGTAGATGTATAAATAATATAGATTGCATTAAAGATGTTACAAACTTAACAGTTACATTCAAATAGTTTAAATAGATATGACTACTTTCAAATTAGAATGTTATATTTTAATAAAAATTATATTAAAATTAGAATGTTATATTTTAATAAAAATAGTTTGATTGTATAAGTATTTTGTTTTAGTTCTCACAAGAATTTGGTTATATATCATTTCAAACTTTTTATAAGTACGTCATATGAATATTCAAATAATTTTAAATTACACACACACACACATATATATATATATATATATATATCTTTTGTAAATATTATGGATGAAGAAATTATAGAATTTGGTATAGAATATTTCAAGGTTGAAACTAGATATATAGATTATTTGAAACTTTTGTGAGTAGTATAAAGGATGAAACTTTTAGGAAGTTGGTAGTAATTGTTGGATAGACTCTTTATATATACATTTATGCAGATATATACATATGTAAATATTATGAGGGTGGCATGATTTATATTTTAGATAGCAGTTTTAGACTTATAGGTTAGAATTGAAATAAATACAGTTAATAACAGAATAATATAAATATGTCGCAAAATATCGTTGATAATAGAATAATATAAGAGCATCTCTAATGCTATGCTTTTGAAAGCCAATGATTTATAACACATGTCAATTAATGGTTGTAATGTTAATCCACATAGGAATAATGTTAAAAGAATGAAAATTTGAATCAATTTAGTATCTCCAATGCATCAATTTGATAAGAAGTTATTTGTATAGGTGGACCAATTATAATAATTGATTGATACAAAAATAATAAAAAAATAAATCAAATATAAAGTGAATTGATGAGTCATCATGTTTAACATGGTGTTAGATATTAGAAAGTGAGTTCAACAATGTCAATATTAAATGCCATCCACATCATCATGAAAGAGTTAATGACAAGATGCATTGGAGAATAAATTAGTAACAAAATTTCAAGAATTGATGATATGGATAAATTTTTACAATGTCAAAAGTCACATTGGAGATGCTCTAAGGAAGCCACAACAAACCCTGTTGAATCAACCACATTGTTAACCAATGTTAACCAATGTTTAACAGAAAGCAATCAGTCAACCACATTGTTAACCAATGCAATTATATTTAAATGGTTAATTTAAAAAAGTGAACTCATAGAACTCATATTTGTGTTGAATTGTTTAATGTGATGGTTATTCTGAAAATAGACAATTTTTAACTCATATTTGTTTTAGAATTGTTTATAGAAATGTGATGGTAATTATTTATAGAATTGTGATGGTTTTATTGTGATATAATTTTAAAATCTTTATATATTTTTATTTATGTAATATATTAATACAAGAAATTAATCACCTAAAAATATTTTTTTATTTTCTCATAAAAATTATTAATATTTTATTTTTTATTATAATATGTTGAAAAATAATTATAATTAACATATTTAGTTTGGCATTCACGTCTTATATGTAAAATAAAAAATAATTTAGTCTATCCATATAAATTAAAATTTAAGTTAATCATGATTTTGGAAATAAAGAATGAGAGCACAATTATCTCATAAAATAAGTTGAAAATTTATTTTAACAATACTTAATCATAATTTTAAAAAACGTTAACCTAATATTTTTATGCTATGCTTCAAAATGATGTAGATGTATTCTAACATCAATTATATATCATTAAATGAGCATAATTATTCGTGGAGGACTGTATTGATGATTGACTAAAAACAACAATAAAAATATTTCTACTATCTATTTCATAAAAAATATAAATAAGCATGTAACATGCATTTAAGTTGTGGATCATGAAAAGACACATAATTAAAATAAATTCCATTTAAATGAATATATAATGAAATATTATGGATAGTCATATTAAAGAGTCAAAGAAAATTGTCCATATATGATGTTCAAGTATCATTGTTTGATATTTTCTTATGGAGTCATCCACCACTTAATGTATTGACACATGTCCAAAGTGTATTTATTGCAGGCCACGTGTCAATACACTATTGATGAATAAGTGTGGATGACTCCATAAGCCGAGCCATCCGATAGCTCTATAGCAAAACTGATTTAATAGTTACTTAGATTTGGTTATTTGTTATTACAAAAAGGCCATTTAGCAACCCCAGTTATTTTATTTATTTATTTATTTATTTCAAACACACCCCATTTTTTTTAGTTGAGATGGTTCTATATATTCACTTATTATAAAAATATTTTCTCACTTGAAAAGGGGATCCTAGTATCTCCCCTAATCATAGTCACAGATGGCTAATGTGATCATTAATCTAGGCATAATATTATCTCAAGAATTAATCAATTACAAGATATGTCTGATATTAATTTGTGATTCATAGCAAAAGCTACTAATCCAGTTAGTGGATATTTAGAAAAATTTCGTTGCAAATCTTGAGCCAATAGTTCATTTGAATCTTGAGAAATGATCTCATCACATACATAACCATCACACTCTAAAACATTAAGTGAAACTAGGGAATTGATTTAAGAAGAATGCACCCCGATTATATTAAATATTAATCCTTTTTAGAAACACTATTATCAGCATTAAGCATATAAGAAACAAATTATGACAGATCATAAGTATCTAATAGATTTAGTGGCACTTTGCGCTTGGCTACTTAAGTTAAAACTAAAACTAAATACCTAAAGTAACATTCTTACCAGAAATCCTTGCAGAGTAGGGTCAAAGTTACACTGCTATTAGTGCTCCACAGTTTCTCCTCACAATAATTATATGTTGTATATACTATATAGCTTTCTTATCGAAAAGGACATCAATATTTAGCATTTACGTAATTAAATAATTTTCTATTAGTTTAATAGAGTTTTAAATTGCATTTTTTATTCTTCCTTTTCTTTTACCCCCACAATTTGCCTACTTAAATAATTTTATGTTACTGTATGTAGGTAAATTGCATGTTCT